AAATCTTGTTTATCTTTTGGATTTCTAATTGTTGTTTTTGTATAATTTCTAGTTGTGAATTTATTTTGGCATTTTGTTCCTGCGTTATTTTCCTGTTCTTCCATTTTTTTGTCTGTATTTTCCATGAATTTGTCTGCCTTTTCCATGAATTTGTCTATTTTTTCCTCATTTTTGTCTGCTTTTTGCTTCCACTCTTGGATAATTCTGAGCACTAGAGATTTGAATTCCCTATCAGGTAGTTCTAGTGCCTTTTCTTTTACTGGAAAGTCATCTGGTGTTTTATTTTGGACGCCTACTGGAACTATCCTGTCCTGTTTTTGTAAATGTTTTGATATTGTCTGCTGTCTGCGGGGCATTCAGTAGTTATTTTTCTCGTTTATTGATTGTAGATTTGTTTGTTTTGTCCTTTTTTTTTTTTAAATTTGGCTATGTCTGAGCAGACAGGCTGTGTGTTCTTTGTTGTTTGCTCGTCTGTGGGCACGATACTTTTCACCTCCTTCTCCAGTTGGCAGGGTCAGTCGCTCAGATACGGTACAGCAGGGCAGGTCTAGCTGAAGAGGAGTTGCTGGGATGGGTTGTTTGTGGCTCTTACTGCAGCCACCAGGGCGGGTCAGTAATCAGTGCAGGGCAGGTTCCGGTAGGCTGTGCCTGTGCCGCTTGGTGGTGTGATGTTAAGCGCATGGTGCAGGTAGGCAGGACGGGGCGGGGGAGATTGTGATGTGTGGAGCTAAGATGGGTATGGGAGAGAGGAACAGGAGCCAAAAACATACAAACAAAAAAAGAGTGCTGGGGAGCTTGCTGTTCGAGTGGAGAGATGAGAGACTATGAAATGGAGAAAAACAAAAAAGGAGAAGAAGAAGAAGAAGAAAAAAAGAAAAGAATGAATAAATAAAAATTAGAAAGAAAAAAGAACAGCAAAGCTTCCAGGGATCCCACCGGTGCAGCTACGAGGTCTGGGGAAGTTGTTCCCAGGTATTGAAGTACAGCCTGGCTAGGAGGCGTAGAGGTATTCAGTGCCAGGTATCCAGGGGACAGGAAGAGAAGAAAGGTATAGAGAGACGAGAAACTGAGTAATGAAGAAAGACAGAAAAGGAACAAGAGGGAAAACAAAACAAAACAAATTAAAAAAAAAAAAAAGAACAAGAAAACTCCCCCCAAAAACAGGGGAAAAAAAAAAAACGAGAAAGGAAATGCTTTCAGGGATCCCTCTGCACTTCTGCGCAAGCTGAGGGGGTAGGTCCCAAGCCTTGCATCTACGCCTGGCCAGAATGGGCTCCCAACTCAAGAAAAGGAAAAGAAAACAAACAAACAAAAAAAGCCCCGGGATCCCACCAGCATGGCAGCATGGACCAGGAAGCAGTTCCACACTCGAACAGAGCTCCACAGCTCCTCGGGAAGAAGCAAAGATGGCACTCAGAGCCAGGTATTTGAGTAAAAGAAGGGGGAGGTGGCTAGAGCTAAGGAAGAAATCAAAAGAAGAGGAAGAAAGCAACATCAGCAGCCAGCAAATGGCACTCAGGGAGTTGGCCGGTGCGGGCAGGTGAAATCCAAGCAGCTGGTGTTCCCGGCCAAGAGACTGTGGCCACAGAAAGCAGAGGAGGACAAGTGGGGGTTAAGAAGGGTGGGGGGTGGGAAAGCATATATCGCCAGTTACCGGTTGTTCTGTCTCCTTCTGGAAGCTCCATGAAGCTGCTTTCTCGTACCCCCATTTGCTGGTCTCTGATAGGAGTCCAAGATGGCAGATCCGTGCTGCGTTAGCTAATAGGGGACCTCTCCATGTATGTCTCCTCTCCATGTATGTCTCCTCACTTTCTGTTCTCTGTCCGTTTCTTATTCCGTTTGGTGCTTGGCTGAGTTCTTTATCTCTTCATTTGATGTTTAGGGTTTCAGGATTGCTATTTTCTCTGTTTGACTTAGTTTTTCGGATCTTTGCTGTGGAGGGACGGCATGGTGCTTCTGTTTAGAGCACCATGTTGCCGGAAGTATCCAGGACATTAAATTTTAACCTTGGACCAGTATCTTGGGTTCCTTTGGAAGCCCAGATCATCTAGAATTATGTGGAAGAACTTATTAGGGTATTTTATGTTGTGGCACTAAATTAACCCTGAAATCTTAGGTTTAGATTTGTTACTGGCTTAGAAACCTCTTAAGTTGACTTCTTGTCCTTTTGATGTGACTCCAGTAGTTTTTGATAACTTCTGTGCTTTCTTGTATAACAAAATGTTTCAGGTTCATCTTTTACATTTCCTGCCCCAGACCTTGAATCAGCTGATAGCAAATCACAAATGACTTCAAGGAGGCTCCTTTTAATGCTGATCATAGAGAACACACTCTGGTGCTAGGGTGGAATGTCACCGCTCCTGAGTTGGTCCTCGTTTCTAATATTTTTTTAAAAATATGTCAGTAGTACTTATCCTTTAAATTTTGGAATGTATCATAGAGACCAATATTTATAGCTGTCTGGTTTAAAGAATACTAATAAAACAGTTACTAGTGTATCTACCACCAAGCGTAAGACATAGAACAAAATCAGTTTCTGTGACTCACCTAGCCCCTTGGAGGTAATCATTGTCCTGAATTTTTTGTGAATCTTCTTTATAGTTGTATTACATATATTTTGCCACTACGCAGTATATTTTTTAGATTTACTTGCTTTTGACCTTTATAAAAGTGGAATTGCGTGTATTATTCTGTGATTTGCTTTTTGGATTCAACATTTTCTTTTAAATTCATCCATGACAATTCACGTTATTGTCATTCATTTCTTTTCACTGTCGTTGAATAAGAATTTCATTGTATGAATAGTGTCAATTTATTCATTCCGTTGCTAATGAATATTTGGGATGCTTCCCATTTCTTGACTGTTTCAAACAAATACTATTATGAATAAACGTGTGTGTGTAAGAGTTGAAGGTGTATACCGAGGAGTGGAATTGCTGGGTGATAGGGTGTGTGTGGAAAGCCTGGTGGTGCAGTGGTTAAGAGCTATGGCTGCTAACTGAAGGGTCGGCAGTTCGAATCCACCAAGTGCTCCTTGGAAACTCTATGGGGCAATTCTCCTCTGTCCTGTAGGGTTGCTATGAGTTGGAACTGACTCAACGGCAGTGGGTTTGGTTTGGTTTTTTTAGGGTGTGTGCACCTTCAGCATTACTAGGTGATGCATGCTGTTATCCCAAGTATGCACACAGCAGTCACTACTTGGAGCGCTTGGTGTGGACAGATTGCTAATTTTTGCCAGTCTGATGTGTGTCAGACAGTATCTCGTTGTGGTTTTTATTGGCCATTTTCCAGATTTCTAATAAAATTGAACGTATTTTCCTGTGTTCATCTGTTTGTGTTACTTTTTTGTGAAATCCTTATTTAAATCCTTTGCACATTTTTCTGTTGAGTGTTTGGGTTTTTTCCCTTATTAAATCAGAGGAGTTCTTCACACATCCTGGATTCTAATCTTTTGTTGGTTACATCTGCATTGCAGAATATCTTCTCCTGGTTGGTGGTTTGTTGTTTTGCCATCTTTAGGTGTCCTTTGAAGAACATTTATTAATTTTAATCTAGTTAAATGTATCCTTTTTTTCTTTATGGTTTGTGCCGTTTATATCATGTTTAAGAAATCTTCCATATTGTAAGATTGCAAATATATTCTCATTATTTTACCTTCCAAAGATTTTAAAGTTTACTTTTTAGTTTGAAGTCTGTGATTCATCTGAAATTTGATTTTTTGGTATGGTATGAGGTAGTTGTAAGGATTATGTATTCAGCATGGTTGTTGAATCGTCATTGTGTTCTTATTCCATTTAAAATCAAGCTTGCAAGCAGAAGCCTCAGACAACAGATTAAACCAGCAGTGACAATAAAGCTGCACCTTAATCAGAATGGAGATCCCACCACCAAAGTCCTGCAGACAGACCCATCCACCCTGCTCCACTTGGTTCAGCAGCTGGAACAAGCATTGGAGGAGATGAGAACAAACCACTGCCGGAGAGTTGTCCGCAACATCAAATAGGACCAGTTTGAAGATTTTAATCCTTTCGAATCATTAACGATCTACAGCAATTACTTTGCACAGTTATTATTTTTTTTAATTGGTAATGATAAGTACATCTAGATCAGATGAATTTCTTCTCCTGTGCCAGGATATTGAGGTCATGATCATAAACGAAAGTAAAGTTCCTTTCCTGGTGCTAAGTGTCCGCTTCGTGGCAAAGTGAGATGTATTTTGTATTTTAAGTGTGTAAATAGGATCGAGCCAACTGGAAATGAATCTGCTGTTCATATCGTCTGTGTATGTGAATGACTATCCTGTTTTTGATACTTCTTTTGACTGCTTAACTTTCTTTATTCTTTTCCTCCTTATTGACCAAATTTGAAAATAAAATTCAAAACGTGATTTTATTACCATTCAGAATATTTTTAGACTATTCAGTTTTTTTGACTTTTAAAAGCACCCCACAATGCGAATGGTCACAGAATAGCTGAAAGTAAAAATGGTTTTTTTTAAATGCTGTATTGTTGTAGGTGGCTCAGGTGTTTTTCTTTGCATGTGAAGATGGTAAGTACTAACCATATGGCTTAAGTTTAAATTGTCATGGCTGATTGGCTTAAGTAGGACTCAGATTTGAATGAATATATATTGTATTTTATCGGGGACTAATTTTGTTCCCCAGTACCCAACGCATCTAAGAAACATGCTGTTATTCACATTTATAAAGTAATGGATGCAGGAATAATATAATAAATTTTGAATTATCTGGATATGAATTACAGTCCCTTTTTGTAGTTTTGTTTGAATAAACTATAAAAGAGGGGAAAGAGGCCATGTTTATTACATTACAAGTAAATATCCCTTCTTCCTGATACTTGATTTTTATTTTGTCTTTTAGTAGGTAACCAAAAGCTATTGGCCTGAAACCCTCAGATGTGATATGTCAGGTCCACCTGATGGCAGGGACACAGTGGCAGACTTAGGAAGAAGACTGATATAGAAGGGTGAAAATGGGGGTTCAGCCTTAAATATGTACCCAGGGCCTTATCCTGAGAGCCTTGACCCCACGGAGCAAGCCAGGAAGTCCTCTAGAGCCATCCAACTCTAAGTTGCACTCCAGACTCTATCAACACTTCACCTCCTAGGAATTAGAGATTTTCAGGCCATGGTGACATCATGTTTCCTTCTCAGAGAGGAGAGAGACTAGCAGGGAACAGAGTCCAGTGGGAGAAAATCATGCTTCACGTTGCAGCCCATTGTCCTTCATGCAGGTGTTTGGGCCACCCTTTTCCTGCAGGTATATGTTCTGCAATTATAAGACAATTATAACATCAGATACTAGCAAACTGTAACGAGAATTTTTAATTATAGTGATGATTTGTGAAGCTCTCTCAGCCTCACAAACAGAAGGAAACTTTATATTGACATGAAGTAGTGGCATATGTCCTCCAGTTTAAAAGCAACATGGCTGCCAAGCTTATATGACAAAAATAGCTCCGTGAGGCTGCTTATATGGCCAGATTTGGTGGAAGGTAAGCAGGGCGACCCAGGCGAGATGGTAATAATAGTCCCATGCCCCCTTGGAGCAACCTTGCCTCTACCTCTGGGTCCTTTGTTCTTGCCCCTATTAAAAGGACAAAGCTATGTTAGTCTCTTTTTGTCTGTATCAAACTCCCCGGCCACCTCTCTGCTCCGTTATTCTTTCTGTGATGTGCTGCCTTCTTCACCTTCTGGGCCAGGGTGAGTTGAGAGCAGTCTCACTAACTTCTTTTAGAATTTGGGGCTCTCTCTGAGCACAGGCCATCTTACGAGACTCTTCCTTTTCTTGTTTAAGCATCCTAGGCCCGTGGGGACTTCATGCTCGTTTGTTTTACGGCACGTTTTACGTTTATTTAGCTTGTGGCTGAACATAATTTCTGCAAATGCAGTCGTTGTTCTCTCCAATGTGACTCACGTTTCCTAGCTCAGTCACATGTCTTCACATCTATACTTAAATTTTTATTAAACAATTTTGGATTATAAGTATGCTGATTTTTCAAGATTGGCTGACGCACGTTTAGACTTAAATGTCGGCGTCGTTCATGCCTTAAAGCCAGAACAGTAGCATCTCATTTATCAGATCAGAACTGTGAGCAGGGAAATAGAGAGTTTTGAGTAACCAATATGTGTGTTACAGCGTCTATACACTTCACTCATTGGGAGTCTCCTTGGTGTTTCACAGAATTTCAGTGAGCTTGTTTTGTTACTAATATTTCCAAGCTTGGATAAATGTTAAACAGCAGCCTAGAAAGGTGGTAGGGATGCCACAAGAAGAAAATATGTCTTCTCTGAGAACTGAAAAATAAGAGCCTGACAATAAGGAAAGTTTGAAAAAATCATTAAACCTGTTGCTGTCGAATCGATTCCAACTCACAGTGACCCTATAGGACAGAGTAGAACTGCTCCATAGAGTTTCCAAGGAGTGGCTGGTGGATTCAAACTGCCGACCTTTTGGTTAGCAGCCAAGCTCTTAACCACTGAGCCACCAGGGGTCCAAAATCATTAAAAGTGTTTGTAAAGGATGGGAGCCTTTAAGATTCATAATATGTGGGCATTTAGGCTAAGGGGGTATAATCTTGTGAGGAGGTTAACAGGTCAGTCTTTGGAGTCGGACGAAAGGGGTTTGAACTTAGGCTCTGAGGCTTCTCATGGATCCTTGATAAATGCTCAAAGCCTTGTTTTCATCTCCAAAGTCAGATTAATAACACTTACCTCACTGGCTTGTAAGGACTGAATGAGACCATATATATATATATATATATATATACATGAATTGTTTCCAGCAATTAATTAGAACGTACTCAATAAATGCTCACTATTACTCAAATTCTTGTTTATTGAATTGAATTATGCCCAGTGTACTCTAAGAGACTGGGAGAAAATGTTAACAGTGGTTGTTTCTGGGTAGTAGGATTATGGCTGTTTCTTATGTCTACAGTGAGTTTGAATGATGTTCATAGTGTTAAAAAAAAAAGCAACTTAATTTTAAATTGAAGCCTGAAGGAAGGAGAAAAAAGGTCAACAAATTTTAATACATTTTTTTGTAATATTTGCATCTAAAATTTTATTTTTGGAATGATAAACATATAGTTCTCTAGAAAACTCTACTATTCAAAATTACTTGATCCCCAAAGGACAGGCTAAGCATTTTACATATAGACTTGGTGTACCCAACCCACCCGTTACCATCAAGTCAGTTCTGACTCATAGTGACCCTATAGGATAGAGTAGAACTGCCCCATAGGGTATCCAAGGATGTAATCTTTACAAAATTCTCCCATGGAGCAGCTGATAGGTTCGAACCACCAACCTTTTGGTTAGTGGCCGAGCGCTTCACCACTGCACCACCAGGGCTCCTTAAACTTGGTCTAGAGTCCCTCTTCTTTTTTTAATCCCCTCATACTAGTGAAAGAAGTATGGGAATCGCAGGACATTAAGCCAGTTCTCTTTTTCTACGTAGTATTGCATCTAGGTGGAGAATTTCTGTTCTTTTTAATTTCTAAAAAGAGATTTAAAAAGCTCTGGTGGCACAGCGATTAAGAGCTTGGCAGTTCAAATGCACCAGCCACTCCTTGGAAACCCTATGGGGCAGTTCTGCTCTGTCCTGTAGGCTCGCTATGAGTCAGAATCGACTCGATGGCAATGGGTTTTTTTTTGTTGTTGTTTAATCTCTAAAGGAAAACTCTTAATACCACCTTGTAGCTTTTCCCAGCCCTTATGGTCAGGAAGTTCTGTCAGCTGCTGTAGTGAAGTCCTTCTGCTATAATTAACTCTTCTCTGTACTCATTTTAAAAAGTAGATGATGTGACTAGATCCCTCCTTAACTTGCCCTTTCAGAGTGTCCATAATCACAGGTTACTCTCTTGTCTTCCTTCCCTCCACAAGCTGTAGAAAATGTTCTGGTGGAAAGTTTATCATACTCCATTGCCTCTTATTTAAATATGTTTACTTTTAAAACCACCACGACCGTTGTGTTCAAACTTAAATGTTGTTGTTTTTGTTGTGTGCTGTGGAATCAGTTCTGACTCATAGCGGAAAAACGAGAGAGCCCAACTCCACAATTAATGTGATTAGTTCAGTAAGCTTTACAAAATTGGAAAGTTTTAGTTATAAAAGCAGAGTAAACCCATTATTTTTCAGCTTTGCCGAACAATATGCTCTTGGGGATGACAAACATGATCTACTTTATGGCAGTAAAATTTATATTTAATTATTTGATCACTGATTACTGATGGCTTTTTGTTTTCATGTTTTTCTAGCTCCTCTCTGCCCAGGAACTCAAAGGACTGACGTGTGCTTCTAGGCACGAGTCCATAAGATTCTGCATACCAGCATGGGGAAAGAGAGGAAAAGCACATTTTTTTTTTCCTTAACGAGCTCAAAGTTAAAAGAAACATTGGAAGTATGAACAGCTATATTAATGTACTCTGAAACTGGGCTTTTGCTCAGGGTTTTTGCTACCCTAAACCCAAGCAACTTTTTAGAAGATTAATTATTTTTTATAATTATAGCATAAATTGTATTTGTTATAATTAGGAATATTACTAATTATATAGCCATCAGATTAAAAGGTATGTTCTGTCCATCACGCATGGAACCAATTAAAAAGAGAGAGAAAACAGCAACCAGTTAAAAAGAGAGACAAAACAGAAAAGAAGATTTTTGCCCTTTCCTTGGAAGCCTGGTGGCGCAGTGGTTAAGAGCTCAGCTGCTAACCAAAAGGTTGACAGTTCAAATCCACCAGCTGTTCCTTGGAAACCCTATGGGACAGTTTTACTCTGTCCTCTAGGGTTGCTGTGAGTCGGAATCGACTCGGCAATGGGTTTGGTTTTTTTTTCACCAACCATATGAGGTCTTTTACCTCTTTTATTCTTAATGTTCTTACTCTTTACTGCTTTACACTCAACTATGTAATTCATCCACTTAGGTATTGCATTTTGTCGATGGGAGAAACAAAACAAAATTTAAAACCTCTTGTAACTCTTTTTCACATGGTGCAGGCTCAGTTTTGTTAAGCATTTATCAAGAGCTTAGAATGATCTGTGTTGTGTGTCAAGCAGAGGATAAAGTCCAGATCTTCTCAGAGTTCAGAATGCTCTCAGGCCATTCCATCCTCTGGCACAGTTTAATCCATAAGGTCATCAGGCTGCAGAAAGGGATCTACTGAGGGGACTGTGCTGAGAAGGGGAATTGTCTGGTCTGTTGTGTGTTGGAACTGCTTTTCCTTGAAACTCCACCTTCTGGAAGGCAAAACTCCAATGGGCTTCAGTGGCTGGCGCTGTAGAAATGTGCAGAGGAAAGGTTAGATCACTACAGAAAACTGTAGAATACCTGGAAGCGGTCAGGGTGGCAGAAATTATTCTTACTCCTTGTCCGTTGAAGTGGGGTTCCCTGAGGTAACAAGAGGTGTGATGGGGAAAGCAAATTGAGTTCTCTTTTACCTGCATTCCAGTGTTGTGATTGTCATAAGCCCAATGAGAAGCGGATGCCTGTGGTTTTGAAGGAATGTGCTTAGTTCACAGAAAGAAAAGGCTTCTCAGTTAACTCAAAGACTAAAAACACAGAGATTGAAATCCAGAGAATGAGGAAAAAAAAAATCCAGGGAAGTCTTTGAGTTTCATCCGGGCAAGTGTAGATGGTTAAGATATGATTTCCTGGCGTGGTCTGAAACTCATATGCTTTTATGCCAAATAAATAAAAAGTTCTTACAAAGCTCAAGTAAGTTTAAATGCTGCAG